CTCCCCCCCCCCCCCCCGGAGTGTAATAAGGGATTAAAAACGCTGCTCTCCATATCATACTTTACTGAACAAAAAAAAACCAACCTTCAAAGGTCATCCACGCTCATGCATGCGATCACACCTCCAAAGGTGCTGTTATCTCTTTTTTTAAAAAATATTTGAAATCATTGTGCGCTCCGCTTTGTGAAAACCAGGAAACAAAATTATTGTAATCAATAATATTATTATTTATAGACTAAGACATACTGTTAGCAATCAGATAAAGCTGGCATCGACCCTCTGTTGTGTTCGTTATTCCTTTCACATAAAGTTAGTTATGTCACACGCCTAGAATCATGCAATCATAATATCTTAAATTCAGTTTTAAAGTATATTTTTATCCATTTCTAATACTTAAATATTTTAGCATCTTGAAAGATTATCTTTATAATTTGGTATGTTTGATAATTTTATGTTACTTGGACTAGTTTACTTCTTATTTTACACATCTTTTTTATTTTTAAACTAGATTATAACATAAAACTCTGAAAGAATTGAACAGTCCGTATCACACACATAATTTTTTTTCTCCCTGTCATTATCCGTCAGCCCGTCAGTTGATCACAATCTCTCTCTCTCTCTCTCTCTCTCTCTCTCTCTCTCTCTCTCTCTCTCTCTCTCTCTCTCTCTCTCTCTCTCTCTCTCTCTCTCTCTTCTGTCTGTCTGTCTGTCTGTCTGTCTGTCTGTCTGTCTGTCTGTCTGTCTGTCTGTCTGTCTGTCTGTCTGTCTCTCTCACTCTCTCTTTTTCTTTCTCTCTCTCTTTCTCTCTTTTATTTAATTTTTCCCATTCTCCTTCGTCCCTTCCCAAGGCCCGCCCCTCCTCTTTCATCCCTGCCCCATCCCCTTTTCCTTGCGTGCATTCCCCCACCCCGCCCACCCCCACAACGCGGCACAGCCCGATAAGATTCTATAAAAAGAAACGCCACAGTTCGAGATTTAGCCCACACTCGACGGCCATATTTGATCCCCACCGTGGCGTACTGCTCGTGGCGCCGCGAAAAGAGAGAGAGGAGGCTCCATTAGTTCTAAACTCCTTGATGCACTTCCTAAATGACCTAGATAGTCCTCCCCCTTGGGTGTGTTTTCCTCTGTCGATCTCCTCGACTGGCATCCCTTCCTTGTGACACGGTTGTAGAAAATTTTCCACTCATGGCGGATGCGCACAGGAAACAATTTTGTCTCAACCAACAATGTGGCTCTCTATCACTGCCAGCACAGATAGTTAATATATAATTCTACCTTAAACCTGTCATGGCTTGATCACATCGCTGCCGTGTTGTCTTCCCTTTTGAAAATCCAACATAACTAACTGATATATATATATATATATATATATATATATATATATATATATATATATATATGTACCCGTTCTAGTTATTCTTCTAATCAAATGATCTTATCCTGTGATTCAACGGTACTGCTTCGATACAAAAAAAAAACAAAAAAAAACAAACAACAACAAACAGCAACCAACAACAGCAACAAGAAACAAACAACAATAACAAAACAAAAACCGAAAAAAAAAAAAAGAAAAAAAAACTGTTTTCAACAAAATGGACTCTTATTTATTATTATACATAACTTTGTAACAAAATCTTGAAAATGGAGCTAAAGGCCGTAAGAATACGAAATACAACAGATGGATAGCCAGCCAGCCAGCCAGCCAGCCAGCTAATGATGACGTGTTAGACGTAGACAAAATGTGGGTCAAGTGATGACGTGTTAGATATGGACAAAATGTGGGTCAAGAGTGATGTGGTTGATAGATAGGGGCAAAATGTGGGTCAAGAGTGATGTGGTTGATAGATAGGGGCAAAATGTGGGTCAAGAGTGATGTGGTTGATAGATAGGGGCAAAATGTGGGTCAAGAGTGATGTGGTAGATAGATATGGACAAAATGTGGGTCAAGAGGGGTGTGGTAAATAGATATGGACACATTGTGGGTCAAGAGTGATGTGGTAGATAGATATGGACACGATGTGGGTCAAGTGATGATGTGTAAGATATCAACAAAATGTGGGTCAAGTGATGATGTGTAAGATATCAACAAAATGTGGGTCAAGTGGTGACGTGATTTACATGGATAAAATGTGGATCAAGTGATGGCGTGATGGATATGGACAAAATGTGAGTCAAATGAACAAACATATTGGACGAGCCGAACAACAGATTTTGGACATCACGTTGAGGTTTCTTTTACAATTGGTTCCACTTCTTCTGTGTATATGACGTCGCGAAGCAAAGAAAGCACAGAAATACGGTACTTCTGACAATCACAGACCCATTTATTAGTGTCTCAATGATACAACAGATGCTTTAGCCAGACCAAGTACATGTGCAAGAAATCTGTTGAGACGAGGAATTAATTGTTTTATTTCTGGCTCAGTTCCACTTCATTGCACTAAACTAACACCTTTTCTTTTGGCGTCAAATTATGTCCTGGCAACACCAGACACGCCGATGGTTCGATTTCTCTGATGTTGAGTTAAACCTACTGTCTTTCTTGGGTGACAATCAGGCGTGGTTCGTTCGAAGAGCACGGTCGTGCAGTGCCGCCCAATTTTTTAAAAATAATCTGTTACGTAAAGTACCCACAATAATAAAATAAAAGTAGCCAGAAACAAACACCAACCAAATAATAATATTATATCAAAACAAGGTCTTCGCCTGCGCCGTAATTGTAATTTCTGTGTCTATAGCGCAGTAAAACATCTACTATGCTATAACCAAAGTCCACGTGCTTTATCTAAAAACAATAGGATATATTCAACAGTGGTTACCTGACCTACTATAAAAATCGCTCTTTGGGATAACCCAAGCGATGACGACCCTCCTAGCGAGTTTGGCGGTACATTTATATTAATAGACGACACATCTTAAATGTGCTCCTGTCGAATAGCGTCGAAACATAGCCCACAGTATGCAGTCTAAAAATAAACGCGATAGACTGTACACTAGCCCATTCTATGCCAAAATTATGTGAGCCCCGGAGCAATCCAGCAGAGTGCTCAAGTGAATTGTGACTGGTTCATTGTCTGTCTTGCCACAATTTTAAGTAACTCTGTGACCGTAAACCTGGGGGAGGTGAACATGACCGCCCTATGAGTTGTCCCTTTGAATGGTTTTGTAGTTGAGTGGTGAAAGTTATTACTTGAGTGTTCAGTTCCAATGCAGAATGAAAGAAATTGTTGTTTAGGTAACAAACAAATTTAGTTCTAGAAATCCAAGCGACAAGTAAAAAGAATGAAATAAAAGCAGGAGGTCCTCCCTCACCAACCCAGAGATCCTAATTAAAATTATACACCATCTCATTTATTATGCCCTTGACTATCTTCAGCTTGCGATTGCTTAATTGTGCATGTCCACATTTTAGCCCCACGAGCAGCCCCTGGTGACAATGATCAAATTAATGTTATTGCTGTTTTTGATTAACAAAGACCTAAACTTCATTTTTTTTTAAAGAATAGAAAAAAACACACCTTATGTTGTTTTTTTAATGCCATGCAAATTTTCTATTTGTTCATGTTGGTGCTGTGAACAATAATTGAAGCACCAAAACGTTATTTCTATAAAACAACCCACTCTTTAGGCTACTCAGTATTAATCACATAACAAGAAAAGCGTTGAGACGCAAAAGACTACACCTTTTACCCAATCAAAAAGTGGTACCTTTCTTTTGATTGCCCATAGTATATATCAAATGTACTAGAAAAACTGCTGCAGTGTGGACAAATGAGGGGAAAGAGAACAAAGGAAGGCAAAGAACAACATTCATGTACACGGATATCCTGAACAGCTCTGCAACGAACCCCC